AAGCTACAATATACAAGCCACAGGAAAAGAATTTAGGTGCATTTGTTGCTGGGGAGATTTTTTTCTCCCGTTGGTTCCTCCTTTGTTTTTTTAATTACTCGCTTACTATTTAACCATAGGTGATGTTGGTTAACCGATGAGTAATGGTAATGCGATTGAGTAAAGTCCAACTCGGTCTGTAACTATGCGAGTGATAACAAAATCGGACAACCGCACAACAGAGAACACCCCAAATATTTGGAAGTAAATTACCTCTTGAAAGGTAAGAATAGTTCTGTTAACGGTTTTATGGAGGGTGAATTTAAATTGAGATGTTCAGGTCATAGTGTGCTTTAGGCAAGAAAACAATCAAACAAGCGAAAGTAGAAAAACACATATATCTTATTAGACGTTTTGTTGTGTAGTATCGCTTAGTATTCTAACGAGTTGTGCCGTATTTTGACGAGCCCATAGGGCGAGTCAAAATACAAATAACGAGTAAAAATACTCAGTGATACTACACAACAAAACGTCTAATAAGTTATTTATTATCCAACACGCCAAACTGTTATTTCAATGCTGGCGAATTTCGCGGATATTTGTTTACGAGGAGTGCGTGACAGAAGTTCTTCATTAAATGAAGAAATTTTCTGGCCGTCAAGCTGTTTTTGTTTGTTCGATTCAAATAATAAACTTAGAGCTATATTTGCCAGCCATTCTGACTCTTCTTCGTTGGAAATATGATTCAAATTGTCCGCCACTGTTTTTGTTTTCGTAACTACAATCCAATTCTTCGCTTGCGCTATGCGAGAAAACCTGTTTAACCGGTACTCTACAATAGACGACAAATACCGCATGATATTTGTACTCGTCTATGGCGTTATTTGGACTCGTCTAAGTGTAGTTGGATAATAATCAATATTACTGATTGTTGGTTTTCCAATGAATAGCTGCTACGTGTTAAGAGATTACAGTTTGGTTTCTTTGCCCATTAACTGTCTTAAACTATGTTTCACGAAACTTCCCTGCCACAAGAGGCATGATGTTTATATGACTGCAGGTCTTAAATTGAACCCTCTAATGAAGTGGCTTCAATGGGTAGTTAATTTTAGTATTTTCGCAGGGGCTGGATTTAAGAAATGGCAAAAACTTGTTACGTTAGGCGACCTTGCTAAAACACTGCTTTTCATTTTTTCACAGTTGTAGCAACAAATGGAGAAGCTTCCATCGAGCATGGCAAGTTCACAATATTTTTGTTTATGATTTATCTCACGAACGAATATGTTTAATGTCATGTCAAACTTAACTCGATGTCCACTTACAGTTTAGCTAAGAACCTATATCACATTTAACAACTAGAGAAGCCTTGACTGTGCTCTGTTCTGTAGTAAAGCACGCAGGAAGTGGCTAGAGCTCGAAAGAAGTGTAGGGAGAAACACGAGACGTAGTCGAGTGTTTCTCCCCACTTCTTGAGTGCTCCTACGTTAATGTTAAGGTGCTGGAGTTGAGCTATTTAAGTGTTATTAATGCGCCTTTGTTAGCTGTAGTGTCCACTCTGTCGTCAATTCTTAATTTTGTCGCGATGTTTTTGTTTTCTTTATGGATGGCTTGTGCGGTCTCGGGTTGCGCTTTCTTGTAGGACTTCGTGATGTTCTTTTCTAGTAGGTCGTTGTACTTGGAGGGCTCTAGCTTGTAGAAGTTTGTAGTTTTGTCGGCGACGATTAGTAGCTTGGGCTCAGTTTTGATGGGGTCGGTGTCTTGTTTTATGTGAAACTTATTGCTTCAAAACATTGAAACTAGAATTCTTTTCTTAGTTACAGCATATGTTACAGAAACAGTGAACCTGTTCTTCCCAAGGTCAGCAAATGACTCTTCCAGCACCTTTCGCAAGTATGCAGTGTGGATAAACAAAACGATCACTATCACTCTTGGAAAGGAAAATGATGGAAAGGACAAATTCCTTTGCATCGAAAACTCCACTTACTCAGTCATCTGCCAGGAGCGTTTCTCCTTTCACTATGTGAACAGCTCCTACATATCACTTCGGATACGAAGTGTAACATTTCAGGATGCTGGGCAGTATGTCTGTCAGACGTATTTCTCACAGGCTGGTGCTGGCAAAGACCCAAGATATGAACATGTACAGTTAACTGTACGAGGTAAAGTACACATATGCATATACCTGTTTATAATCTGGTCATTCCTTTAGGCTGTTTTCATTTCTTAGCTCATTTATTCATTGCAATACATGATAAGATTTCAGTACTTTTCATGTGGGGCAAAAAAATTTAACAAATCTGAGATACAGAACAGATGGCATTTTTTTCAACTGTTTTTTACTTATCTTTCGGTTACTATGGACAGTTGCCTGCTGATGGGGCAATAAAACTTTTAGTCTACACAAAATGGTGTGTGTAAACTGTGGATTTGATCCAAAATACAGACGGAAAGAGAAAAACATTGCATGATAATGAGTAGATGATGAAATATTATTGTGTTCAATTGCAAGGTTAACTTAGAAAAAAAACTGACTTGTTCTCAGATTGCATTTCGTACCTCACAGGTCTGCTATCTATATTTGTTACAAACTGTTTTTACCTTTTACCAGAAAAACCAACAATCCGCACTAAAGAAATTATGTCCCCCACTGCTCCCAGGTCAACAAGCCCTCACTCAGGTTGGTAATTTACTTGATACTTGAAAACTAGCTAAAGTGTAAAGCAAAAAAAGGAAAGTGAGTAAAGCAAATTAGCAATGACAGGGTGCACATGATTTAGCTGAATTGCCCTGGAATAGCCTAAAAGGAATGGAACAGCATGAAATTATTGTTAGTATTGGAAAGGAAAGCCAGTAAGCCATAGCATAGCTTATAATGTGTCATAGAATCACAGAATCGACATTATGTGATATGTGGTGAGTGCTATTAGTGAGGCACAAATGGGGTGAAACCAAGAAAATGATGTGAGCTGATAGTGTGCTTCTGTTGAAACATTGTCAAAGTAAAGTGGAGTGTTGTGAGATTTTACAGAATCATTGGTGTAGAAAGAATTGTATCAGGTGGCTTGGATTGATCTGGAAAAGAATGGATTTCGCTAATGTGTGTGAGTGGACAGATATGGGTGAAATGCGAAAATGTCACTGATATCTTTCATTTCCATCTTTGTGACTCATGCTTTCTCTCGTGTGCTGACGGTGCTAACTGCTCTATAGGCCCTACTCCATTAGTGATCAACATTATGTGGGCACATTGAGTGGACACTTCACAGTTCATGATATTAATAATAATATTTAACATTTACAATAAGATGATGGTTGAATGTATTCCCCTGGTTGAGCTGATCATATGATTTATTTTATCATAATTACAATAATTGCCTTTACTATTAATAATTATTATAATTACTTTTATCATAATTATGTTTATTACAGTTGAACCTCAGTTATCTGGACTTGTGGGGACTGGGCTGAATAGTCCACATCATTCAACATATAAATATTAATGGTCAAAAATAAAACAATTTAAGCAAAAAACTGTTTTGTTCTCAGTTTGCATTTGGCATCTGGTCTGCTGTCTGTATTTGTTACTAAAGGTTTTTACCTTTTTACCAGAAAAAACAGCCGTTCGACCAAAAGAAACAAATTTTACCATTGTTTCTAGGGCCACAAGCCATCACTCAGGTTGGTAAATTTGCTTGATACTTAAAAATAAGCCAAAAAGTAGAGCAAAAAAGAAAGTGAGTGAAGTAAGTTAACAATGAAAGTGTATCACTTTGCTGAATTACCCTGGCGTAATGTCGTAAGTCAGTCATGTTGGATCCCGTGATTATGGAGAGTTAGATTATTAAAAAGTAAGGTTTTTACTGCAAGCAGGGCGTTGTGGTTTATTTTACTTTAGCTCTGTTCGAGACTGATACTCTGGATACTACACCTGGAATAGCTATAAAGGATTGGAACAGCATGAATTTATAAGTAGTATTGGAAATGAATGTCACTAGTCCCTTGCAGAGCATAGAATTTGGTGGTAATGGTGTAGTAGCATTATGGTTGTCATAGAATTGCGGGATCAACATTATGTGATATGTGGTGGTGGTGAGTGCCGTTGGTGAGATGCAAATGGGGTGAAACCAAGAACACAACTTGAGCTGATTATGGGCTGGTGTTGAAACTTTGGCAAAGGAAAGTGGAATGCTACCTGGGAGATGTACTGGATTTCATGTTTCAGAATAGAGTTGTATAGGGTGGCTTGGATTGATCTGGAAAAGAATAGATTTGGCTAATGTGTGTGAATGGATGGATGTAGGTGAAATGCGAGAATGTCACTGATACCTTTCATTTCCATCTTTATAGGGATATTTCAGCCTTTCTTTTGCGTGCTGATGGTGGTAACCATTCTACTTCAGGCCTTGTTCTATTAGGGAACATCACATGGGAACATTACGTGGACACTTCACAGTTCATGATTGAATGTATTTCCCTGGTTGAGCTGATCATATTATTTATTTTATGATAATTATGGCCAACTATGGGACAGATTCGTGAAAGTCCCCAGCCAAAGTCTACTGCAGTGGAAGCGATTGTGACTTCGCAACCACAACAGACTGTTGTTACTCGAAGTGGTAGAACTAGCGTGCGCCCTTCCAGGTTGGATGACTTTGTCACCTAGATACAACGAACTTTGAACTATGGACATTGGTTGAGTTACTAAAAAAAAAAAAAAAAACAGTTTGGTCTTTTAATGTTGAGTCAGCTCTTTATGATTTCAATTCACATTCTATTTTTGTTACCCGTTCACCCCTCATGTTTTATTGTTACAGAAAAAGGGAGATGTTATATGAAGTAGTCTTTGGGGCTTCCCCAGAAGGGCTCCGGAGTTATTAAATGCAAGGCTTCGTTTACTGTCGTTCGTCTCCTTGAGTATTGCCATCTTCTATAGTGATAAACAGTTATTATTATTGATAGTTATTACTATTTTTATTATTGTAATTAGAATATGTATCATTTTGTCAATGTTAAGTAAGTAAATATAGCAAAGGGTTAAGACATGGAAAAAAAATTCACAGATACATATTTTGATATTTTATATTTAAATTTAACCCTTAACTCCCAAGATCTGATTTTTAATTCTTCCCTCTAACTGCTACACATTTTCTTGAAAATATTTTTGAGTTGAATTTGGTGTCCGGACCAAGATTATACAACTCCATACTGATGAGGTTGAGTATTCTCATTGCCTGTTTGTGGGGTAAGGTACGGATATTGTAGGGAGAGGTTACATGTTAATCACTTCTGGGAGTAAAAGGGTTACCAGTTTTTGAAAGTGAAATGGTTGAATTTACAAGGATTTGTATGGAAAACCATGTCTGAGTGTGACTGGGAGGCAAAAGTTGTTTTTCTTATACAAATGCTTCTAAATTGGCAGCTGTGGCAATTGCTTCTTATGAGATATATGGTTGAAAATTTGTAAGTTACCAAATTTTAATATGCTCTTTCAGCTTGTGCTAACAAAATCTTTGAAAAGTGAACACAGGCAGCCCAAGTTCACTACCAGAAAAGAGGACGTGACTCTTAGAGTGTTGCACAAAGGTTTGTATGGGATGTTATCAGTTTGCCTTAAAAGAGAGAAAAAGTGTCTTGTCTTGAAATAAAATGGACTTACCTTATTGCCTTGTTGTTGAACACCAAAATATCGCTAACTCGCCGAAACGCTTCAAAATGGCCTGAGACGCTGGTAATCAACAAAGAAAACAACAAGGCAATAAGGTAAGTCTATTTTATTTCAAAACAAGACATTTTTTTCTCTCTTTTAAGGCAGACCGATAACATCCCATACAAACCTTAAGTTTATAAATATAAAATGTTGTGCAACACTGTAAGAGTCACGTCTGCTTTTCTGGTAATGAGCTTGGGCTGCCTGTGAAGTGAACTGTTTTCTTGTTTACTGAAAGTTGATCATGTGATCAAGGGATGCAAAGAGCCTATTTTGATTTTAATCCTCATGAGGATGTATTTTCATATTTTAATACGACTTTTTTCGTGTTCAGGTGTGTGATTTTGATGAGGATGTATTATGAAATTGATTATGGGGTGACTTGACCCCTTTTCCAGCAAACAATGTAGTCAAATTTAGCAATCTGGAAATCTCTCTAGTTGCTGGGTAGACCGAAATGAAGTGGGTTACAACAATAAAGGTGTAAAAATAAAAAAAGCCAGGGTCAGTGTCTTTTTCAATTGCATGAAAAGGAAATTCTTGATATGATGTAGAGTTTCTGCCGATATGAACGTCCATCCGCATACGAGTGTCAAACAGACGGGTCTCTTCCTACCCCATGGGTTTTCCCCCCCACTCCTCCCCATTATCTTTCCCACGCGGGAAGCCAGGAACCAGTCATTACTTCCCGCCTGGGGGCCAGGAGATGGGGGAGAACGAAGAGGGGATCAGTCGTCGCCAAAAGAGTGTAAAATATGGACTATAGAGAATTGACTGCCAGGGGTGGGGAGGGGAGTCATTTGAATACTACAGGGCCTTAAGGGGGATCGGGTAAATTTGATTATGACACAACTAAAATCCTCAGACCCTCCCCAGCCCCTGATGGGGGAGAGAGCTTTCAGAGGAATTTTTATTACTCAGCGTTGGCAATTCGGGTAAGTTCGTAATAACGCATTAAAAAAAAACAAAAAAAAAACAGTGTGGTGTAGTGGTGAAGGCATCGATCTTACAGTTCGTACCATTTTATTAAGTTCATAGTCGTAATGGAATTGATATTCAATGTCACATTCCAAACAAAAGTATTCTCAAGTCACTGAAGAAGTAATGATTAAATTTTTGCGAATTTCCCTGGACTGCAATCACGCTATGTAAAGAACTTGTGAGTTAATTTTCCACACACATTTTCGTTTTCTAACTGATAGAGAGATTTTACTAGCATGTAGGCCCCCATTATCAGCGCATCGCAGTTGCTGATGAAGATGATCTCTCTTTTATTGAATGAAATACTTGATCTTTTGTCAAGGATTGATCTAAATGTTATTTGCGCCAGGAAACAGGAATAATTAGACCTCACCAAACTCAGAATGCTGCGAGAAGTGAAATTAATGTTTGAGAAGTAAAAACATCTGCATGAAACTTACGAAAAACATGGAGTTTACGTCAATTTTTTTTTTTAAATCCTCCTTCAGAAAACCGAAAAAAACTCCATTGATCATGGCTTACATAATCTTGTGTGCTTTTGAAAGCACTCTTAAATTGTTTGTTCTCTTAAGAAAAATGCATAGTCGATTTTTACGTTCCAAACCCAAAACATCCCAATTGTTCCATTATCCAGACTGCGTGGCGCGTAAACATGTATATGCTTTCAAAAATTAACATTCAAAGGTAACGCGGGTTTAATGAGCACTGATGGACGTACTATACTTCACTTTTGAAAACGCTACGATTTCTCTAAAAGCTTAAAAATTAAAAAAAGGTTGTAATGCAAAGTTCAATGAACTAAAAGAAGAGAAAAATCAGGGAGTTTTGGAAATCGTGTCCAAACTTTTGCAAAAAATGGTTATTTTTATTATTTAATCTATAAAGGCACCAAGGGTTTCGTTGAAATTGATTACAGAACTCCGTCAAGAAGTGGTTAATTTTGAGAACAATTCATGATGTAAACAAGGATTTTTGTGAAGATATGCCGGCCCCTTGTGTGTCGATTTCATCCCCGTAGGCCCAGGAAAAATATTCTCTCCTCATTGGCTTGAAAGCACAGCTGAGGTCTAATCGCCTGATGTAAATGGCTTGTATATATCAAAATAACTCTAATTCTCCTAAATTTGAACAAACCACTGAGCGCATTTATAGAACCTTTTCAAATATTAATGCTGATATCTGCCTTCAGACAAAAAAAATATAAGTACTTAGTCAAAATATTCGAGCCATATCTCCTACGCTTGAAGTAACATTTGATAGACTTTCGAACCTTTGCTATCGAAAATAACCGGCGAACGCATATAACAAGGAAGGAATATGTCACGGAAATCTGGCTGAACCTTTTTTTTTTTTTAACTAATTCTTTATTTTTGCCCAGGCTGTGTGCATGTACTTCTCCTCGATGACAAATAGGTTATCGAAGTAGAGTTGTTTTGATATAAAGTCAAAAATGAATTCCAATGTCGACTTGGTTCACACTGACTGGCACGAGAGAAACACAGGTAGGCGCTGTTTTAAAGAAATTTTTAAAAAGATATCATAAATATCTTTTCGCCGGATTATTTTCGAGAGAATTTTGTTTGCTTTCCGCCAACGTTTTAATCTTTTATTGCAAAATGTTTTATTGCGTATTCTGGTTAGTTTTGTATTTATTGTCAGGAAAACATCACGCAGATAATATTAACGGTGCCTTAAGTTCCGATTCCCTCCCTCAAGGAAAAAACAAGTTGACACAATACGAAAAAAAAAAAAATGTAAATGGATACTGTCATGCAAAGAAATATCCCCTCTGGTGATTTATTGTTATCAGATGGACTCCCTGCGTAGAAGAGCATGTTTAAGTGGAGTGAAAATCTTACATGAAAATGGACTCACCTGACACATACAAGATTGCAACCACTTAGGTTGTCAAAGAAAAGCAACAAAAAATTATGTGGATAAGAGTATATCTTCGGTTTTTTTTGTTTTTTTTTAACTACTGCCCAAAGAGTTATCTGGAAAAAGCGATGCGATGAAAACTGAGCAATGAGTCTGTTAACCGTAACCTTTTTGTTTTTCTCCTAACTCATCCTCAAGAAGTCAGGTGAAATTTATTACACAGGAAACACAACAAACTTGAACAACACACCATACAAAAAAAAAAATATGAAAAAGAAACCACAGCTGAAGACGAACTACCGCGCGTTTAGCTTAGTTTGGCATGTTTTTCAGTTAAACAATATTTGTTTTCTTCCAGAAACCTCTGAGTGCATGAAGAACCTCATTACATAAGATTTCTCAGTTTTTTGGATCTTGCTTCACCCTTCTTCTGTATGAAAACTCGGTTAGATCAGTTACGGATATCTCAAATAGGTTCAGGAATATAATCCCCTTAGCAGCACTTCGAATTTAACTTAGTTACCGTGACGAAACTCAAGAGATGGTGCTTCAGTTGTTCATGTCTCTTCGCTGAGATGAAATTTCCCATATACACAACACTTGGCCAAAATTTCTACTAACGAGCTGAAATTTCTCATGCATACAAACAAGGAACAAAATTGCACCTTAGACTCCTTAGTAGTAAATTCATATAAGAGGCCCTTATTTCTCTGAAGATGGTCAACTGCGCTAATGGATTCACTATGGTTGCAGTGCCGATTCTGTTCTGGGTTCTGTCACGTCTTAATACACTCTTTGTTGAATCATGGCGATCATTCATTCTTTACGAGGATGTTACAGTCTCAGGGTCCCTCTCAGGCACTCTGAGAACATGCCCTTCCCCACTCCTGCTATCAGTTTTCAGTCACCGGAAGTTGAAGTTTACGGACCAAACACAAAAACAATAAAGGCACTAAATGCACAATACTAAAGGAGTTAAAATTCGAAATCATACAATGATCAAAGGGTCCTAGGAAGAAAATTAGATTTCTTGTATCGGCTAGTCTCAACGGCACAGCCGAAGGAAATCAGCTAATGTGATTCGTCAGTAATGCACTGCGCATCCCGTACTGCGCATAAAAATCACGCGAGCAGGCGACAAGGAGGGTGCGCATTGCGAGTAGGCCTATATAGATTATGCTAGCATAATTTTTGGCATAATTTGAGCAAACTGGCAAAATTTCTGTCAAATAGCAATGCTAGCATAATTCGCATTATTAGATCATTTTTTACTACAATTTGATCATTGTTCATCTCTACTCCCAAGCACTTGGTGCTGTTATTCGATGTTTTCAGTTTTAGTTCAAGTAGTAGCATTTGTAGCACTGTGAATCACTGAGTGGCGTCTGAAACGGTCTGAGCCCAGGTCTGGGGTGCACCGAAACCGGAAGTCACATTGTAAGCCATGTTGGTTCCAGTACCTCTCATCAGGCAAGGCTACAAATTACAAAATGGCGCAATCGCAGATAAGCTATATAGTCTAGTACTATACTAGTGTGCATGTTAACATGAATCACATGTTCATTTGAATTCATTGTGGATTTGTTGCGTTTCTATCTGGTAGACCAACGGCATCTAATTAAAAAATGTATTTTTTGGACTTATTTGCAATTTTCAGAGCATAATTTTTTAAAAAGGGGCACAATTTGGAAAAAAGAGCATAATTTTAGCATAATTTCGCCACACAAAAAAGCAATGCTACTAGCATAACAAACTACTTTTACTAGCATAATCTATAAAGGCCTAATTGCGAGAACAAGTAATTGTTTTTCAATCAATGGACAGGCTAAACGGGTACTATGGTCTTTTGCTCTTGAACGAGGACGGTAACTTATATTTTCTATTGCATGATTTTGGTGTTCAAATTATCCCCTCTAAACTCAAATTGAAAAAAATTATTGAAGGGAAAAATATCTAGCCGTTGCTGGAGGGTGAAAATTATGACCTTGAAAGCAACGCCTCGAAGAATTGCATGATATTTTTACGCAAAATTTTTATTACAGTCTTTTATACGCCCGAGACTTTCTGCCCATCAAGTACTTTTTCAAGTTTTATAGTTAAAACCTTGCTACCAGCTACCGCAAAATGTACCGCGAACAGATGAAATGACGCACGTGATTGGTACCCGTACAGGGATGAATGGGGTAAGATTGGCCCCTAATATCTCTTAAACAAGCATGTTGACTTATCTTTTTTTATTGTAGTTTTCGAAACAGACTTTGGTAGGGAATATTTTAAAGAAAATTTTAAAGAATTTGCACGATAACTTTTTTCTTATAAATCACCTTGAGGCCAACACTGATCTAAAATGAAGGAAGTGCAACATTACTCAATTTCGGGAACAGATGATGTACGCTGTGAGACCAGTCATTATATAATTCATCGCCTTGGAGGTGGTGGAGAATTTCGGGAAAGGGGGAAGGATCACATGGTTTTCACGGGGAACGGAAAGGGTGGTCAGTCGTCGCCAACAGAGTATTAAGGGAGACTATAGAAAATCGATGGCGATTAACTGCCAATGGAGGAAGATCATAAGAACATCACAGAGCCTTATGGAATAATCAGGTAAACCTTATCGTGACACAACCAAAATCCTCCGAACCCTCCCCCCCGCCGCGTCCCCCCAACCAGCAGTCGGGTGATAAATATTTACAAGAGAATACCAAGTGATATTCTCTTGATGTATTCTCTTGGTAATGATCGATCACTCACCGCTACACCTGTTCTCTCCCGTTCCACTCATCTGGAGGCTGGAATGAAATCTGAGATGTCACGGGGGGTGGAGCTGGGGGTGGGTGAAGGAGGGGCTATAGCTCTATAGAACGAGAATTAAACGTAGCTAAACCCCTCAAGTACCCTGCGAGCAGTGCCTTTTTAACCCGTCCTCGAACTGAAAAGGGAAAAAGGCTCTGCTGACGTCCTGTTGTTGCTCGTTTGAACATGCGCAGCAGTTGCCTAGAAACTGATCCTTTTCCAGGCCCCCTTGAACTATTGTGGGCGCAGATTTGGTCATCTGTGTACATGAAAAACAAAGGCGTGCGCACCAAAACCGGTTTGATTGGAGGCAAAACCAGATTGACCAGCCCAGAGTTTTGGGGTACATGTTGTAAAGGTCCAATTTTTCGAGAACTTTCCACTTATCGATCTCGAACGCACTGGACTTTGCTAATTTAGTTTGCAAATTGGTGTGCTTCGTGCGAACTTACTGTATACGGGGCATTTAAGAAAATCGCAGTTAACCTTGGGTACGGGTAAATATCCCCTCCCTCCCCCGTCTCACGATGGAAAATGCCTCACCACCCCTACGGAATTATTTGAATAAAAAAAGACTTCCCCTCACCTGCCGTTAATATATTACAGAGCGGGTACTATAAAAGAGTTATCGGCTCAAGAGTACCAGAATTTTTAATCTGTTGCCTACAATCAAACGTGACTTTGAAAAAACCGCATTGTATAGTTTAATTTTGGCGTGCGTAAAACTCAGGCTTTTCTTTTGTTTAGCTTACGTTAGACAGCTTATCTAGAAATCGGGCGACAGTTCTTTTACTTCAAAGTAGTAAAATAAGAAATGTATACTTAATGGCGGAGATCCCTCGCTAACGTGGTGAAAGACGTGATTAACTCGACGTTTCCAGACACTCCTTATGTTTCGACAAGCTATAGGATTCTTACTCCTAGACAGGTCTACCGCTTTTAATAAATTATTTGCCATGGAGATCTGTGCCGGATGTCTTTTGTCACCTTCGTGTGGCTTAAATTGTTTTTCTCATTGGTAGTTAGATTTTTAATTCGGATGGATCTAGCAAAGCTTAATAATAGTTCAACTTCATTCTGAATTTCTATCAGTAGGATTTTTGGTTGAAAAAGTAATCCTATAAATCATGCTTGTCATGTAATCTGTGTGTTATTTATCGATCAGGTTCATTCTTTTTATTTCTCGTAAAACTGCGCCTGAAAATTTCAATTACGGTCTCTGAGAAATGTTCTTGGCCTCGAAGTCTTGACCCTTGTAAGCTAAGGTCCCCAAAATGTATTTGAGGAAAATGTTTTTTTGAGTACGTGCACGATTTACTGAAGAAATAAAGAAATAAAAAACCAGTAAACAAAAGCAAATGTCTTTATTATAATTACGTATTGAGTGTAAGTGTCAAAATTGTTATCAGATTTTTCATTGAAAATTAAAAAGACTTTCTTTTTTCTTATTAATCACAGCTTTCATTAGTTGTCTTTGAAAATGCAAATACTAAATAAATGCAAGCGAGGCAGATCATGACGTCATGATAGCTTGCTGTTTTTTTTATTTCCTGCCACTAAGTCAATCTGTCTAGTCTGCATTGAAACTATACACATCGTAGGGGATTTACTTCCCTTCGTCTCCTGAAACATCTGAAATCCCGAGTGTTGTGATCGATCTACAAAGCGTTCAAAGTTTTATTTCTGGCATCTTTATAATGTCCCAGTTTAAAGTTGAAAAAGGTTTGGCTACTCGCGAAGTACAGAGCGTGTTTTCTCCAATTCAAAACCATCGACCGCTTGTCGATCGACAGAAACAGTTTGTTATGGCTTCATTCTAAGTGAATTTTCTTCTCTCCCTTTGTTTGTCATCTCTCTATTCTTTAGTCACCAAAGTGAGAGGTTTGTCAGATCTCTCTGAGAAAGCTAAAGTCAGTGAAAAGACCGAACCCTCTTCCAAGCGAAGTCGAGGGTCTGCTAACAGTAGCGAACGCCCAAGCTCTTCTCACGGGAGACAAACGGCGCTAAAGGTAAGAAAATTGACGCTAAATCTCATATGCTATCGCTGTTTGTATTTCGTTCGTGATATCGAAAGTTTATTCTCTCAGATTTTGTGGGCCGAAGGAATTCCAGCGAATGCTGTTCTCGGCTTGCTCGATGGGTTGTGATTCTTCATAAAATTAGAAAATCTTCCATTTGTGTGTCATTGTTTGAAGGGTGTTTGGGTAGTTGCGCTGTTCTCTACTGGTCACACGGTTTACCACTCGCAGTGATGTTCGTTCACAAGCTCAATGTCTGTTGATAAAGGATTTTTAATTCACTGTTCATCGCATTAAAGCTATACCAACATCTCAGCAATCTTCAGAAAACAGATGTGCTTTGTAACAATTTAAAAACGAATAATTATTCTCGCATTTGTATTGGAATTTTGGTCTTTCATCGACGATTGCGGAGATAACAATTGTACGAAATCTGCTTCGTGTGGGAAGAAGAATTGACGTAGCTTCTATCTAAGATTTCGCACCCCTCCGAGCGGTTATTGCTTGAGTAAACAACACTTTTTACTTTCAACACATTATACATCATGCTCTAAAAAATTTACTTGAACATGACTGGATGTTGTGGTCGAACTTCGTGTTTCAGAACCACCTTTGATAATTAAAAACTGTTTTTCTCAGTATTTCTTTAGGTTGTCAGAGAAAATAAATTCACTTTGAATTGTTTGATTTCCTAATTTGAACAAGTAATATTGTTGACGTTTTGGCAGCGGCAAAGGTACCAATTTGAACAAAATTGATTTTAAGACTGCTCTGTGAGACAGATTTTTTGGAGGAATTCTTTGATTGCATGTCACTCTGTATTTCTTTGACCCTAGTTAAATATACAACTGCGAATTTTCTCTGTGAAATATCCAACTGCTCTTTCTATTTTTAATCCGAGATAAAACGATCATTGATATTGGGGTATGTAGAATATTGAGGCTTTTGTAAAATTATGAGGGTTTCTCGCGAGTCCTTGAAACTCAAGAATTATTACCAATCAAGGAATAAAGTAAACCAAAACATCTCTCTTGTCAAATAAAAAAAAAAAAGGCAGAAGCAAAAATAACCCAGAAAAGAGAAGGGGCAATGGAAAAATTCGAAATTAGCATTTTGATATTGATGTGTAATAATTATACACCGGTTTGAAGTGGCATGCCTTGAAGCTAAATGCGTAATTTTAGCAGATCTGTGGAAAGTTTTTACTTTAATTAATTCAGCTGTCATTGTTTCACTCTTAAGAACAAAATTGAACTCATGACTTTGTGATCAGATAAAGCATTTTTTTTTAACTTGAAAAGGAAATTGAGACTTACTGGTATTTTTGAGGATGTTGAAGACTACATTCCATTTAATTGCTTTGAGTAGACGAATGTGAATTGGTCAACTCTTTAAGTTTGTGACAAGTAACAGTCACATCTAACAATTCACCAAGATGCAAGTGCATACATTTCAAGTAATCTTTACTAGTAAAATTTTGGAATAGTGATGTGCCTTAATATGCATGCATATTGATTTGCAGGGCGCGACACTAACGGCAGCCAACTAGCTACAGTTGGAAATCTAGTAGAAATTCAGTTTTGGTTAGTGGTTTTCAATTTCCTCGAGCTAGTTTGGCTTGTAAACAAACTGAAATTGTTGTAATGTCTAAGTTGTCACTAGCCACTTGACTAATAAGGTGAAAAGTTAGTGTCGAGCCCTGATTTGCATGCAAACCAATTGCATTCTCTAAATGTTACTGGATAAAATGCAAGTGAAAGCAATATGACATATTCTGTTGATTGATTGAGGGCCTTATTTTGCTGGAAGCCTTACCATGAATTCTGATTTTGAATTAAGACAATCATCCCTGTTGGAACCCCGGTTTATTTATTGTTTTTGTGCCAGAATTAAATAGTTTCCTCAAAACTGCAGATTGAGATCCTTATAAAGTTATTTGAGCGTCTCAATCATCGATTCTTGTTATTTGATTCTTGATACTCTATTCACAAGCCTTGATTCTTGATCTTTGGTTCTTAATTTCAATTGAGTTTTGAATCAAGACTGTCAACTTACTTTTGATCAGTACTGTACATATAACAATGTATTGTAGCTAACAGTTAGAGATCACATAATATTTACCACTTTCTCTGGTACAGTCAGATGTCTTGACGTTAAGTCAACTTCTGGCTGTTAACCAATGTCGTGCCCGAGACCTGTGCAGTCATGTCTGTGAGTAAACAAGTGGTTTTTTTGCGTGGAACTGGTGAATCAACTTTTGCAACCCCCACTGCTTAAAAACAATTGAAAAGGCTGGAATAGGGATGGTTTTGGTGTTATGGTGAACTGGTTTCTTTTACTGCTGTAAACAAAAGCAAAGTGGCAAGTTATTCATGCTTGTGTGGCCCAAATGACATGGAGAAAGCAGTCAGAAAAAATAAGTAAAAAAAAAGTTTGTTTTCTTCAAAATTGTTGGCAAATGTCCTATCCTGACATTGAGGTCAAATCATTTGGAAAATTTTGAATTTCTTGTCAGTCTCATTTTTTTTTTATAATTTTTTCCATCTCGAATCTTGATTACTTTGAATTCCAATTTTTTTTTTGAAGTGTTGTTATAATTTGAATAGAATTAATAAGCTAAGAATGCAAAGTTTACTTCTGTAGAAGAGCTTTGTTGCAGTGAGGCATGTGTTGTGACAAGATCATCTTTAAGCTGATTTGCAGATACTGTATTAATTAAATATAATTATTCTCTGACTTGCAGTGAGAATATTCCTGGGCCATTTTATCAAATACTGCACCAGTGTTTAATAACAGACCGATCCTGAAGTATCATCAAATATTTTTGCTCAGAGATTGACTTTAACCCCTTTCTTTCTAACATCAGTATGCATATTCTCCATACTATTCTCTACACATTTCCTAAGGAGCTGACAAGGAGAATTTGTTTAACAATCAGGAGCCTCTTTAGCTGGTGGTCATTTCCTTTATTCTTGTGACCTTTTATGTTTGACTCAGGGAGAGATATGGTAACGAAAAATTAGATCCTAGTCACTGTAAAGGGCAAAAGGTTTAACTTCTTGAGCTCCAAATATTAAAGCTACTTCAAAAGTTTGTTAGAATAATAAGTCTTACCTTGGATTGATAAGATTTTATATCATTAATTCATAACTGTTAATATTAATGATATAGAAAACTGCATCACCATCAAAGTCGACACCCAGTGAGGCTGCTGGTAGCAAGTCCACAGGAAAAACAGCTCTTTCACATCGCACCAACCCGCCAAAACCTGCAACAAGAACAAAACAAACTGCTCATAACTCTTCAACAACAGTCAACAAGGTAACTACCGAACCATTACCTTATTAAACCATTGAGTTACTTTCATTTAAAATTTATTATTTCAGTTTGCACTTGGTGAAAGGAAAGAGAGTTTGTCAGGCACCTTCTTGTCATAACTAGCATAAAACAACTGCACAGATTGCTAAGTATGAGCAATTTGGGTTTTAAGGCCGAACATCGACAATAGGTGGAGATATTTTCTGCTTGAGTATTATAATAGTAAATGATATGTAGCTGTTCAAGCTTGAATTACACTGTAGATGTAAAAAAAGGAATAGCAGACTTGTAGCTGCATGGTTTATTTAATGCAAGAAGAATGACTGTGGCAAGGAAGGAAGAAAAATTAGAGAGCTAGTCATCACTTTCATTGTAGAAATTATAATTATTTATGTCCATCGTGGCAAAACACTGCAAGTACTTTTTGGATTTTACAAGTTTATTACGTGCATGTGGTGCCCAGAGCCCAGTGACACTGGAAGCCAAATGAGGGTCACTCAAATTGACAGAGTTAACCCAGGCTTAACGATTTCACACCCAGATCTCATCTATTAAGTAATTTTCCTTACTGTCTGGCATACAATTTAGGTGATGTTAGTTTAGAGAATGTCATATTGGATTAGCTGACAATCCCCTAAAATATGTTTTTCTTCAAATGAATGTCATGACTTGTCTGTTTGATATTGTTCTGATGTTTTGAGGAAAAATCCTCTCTTGGCTATTCTCGTATGAATTATACTGTCACAGTGCTAACTTAAAGGTACTATTTAGACATTCAAGAAGGCTTGATCATGTGCTACCTATTGATCTTTTAAATACATCTCATTCTAGCTCTTGAGCAACTGATTGAACTTGTGTTGCTAGAAATGATTGGTTTTTAACCCATTAATGGCCACAGCTTTTGTGAAAAAACTGTGTTTTGAAGCTAGTCGAGCAGATTTCTGGTCACTGTTGTGGTTTTAAAAGCTCAAACTTACCAAAAACCCATTGACAGCTCGTACACTCGACGGCCTTTCAATCCAAATGCAAAATGGCGGCCTGAAAATCTCGGGCACGTGCAGAAAGCAAAATTGGGTAGGCTTCATTTTGGTGTAGAGATTTTTTAGGAAACTACTCATTATTTTCAAACCACATGGTCAGAAAGGTAGGTGGGTTATGGAACAAGATTTTCGTGCAGATTTTCAGGTCAAAGTTACATGGTTTTTTGGCTATTTCTCCGATCTCCTTCACTCAGTTGTGCTCATTCTGGTATCGTTTGTAAGATATTTTCAACCTGTTCAAGTACGTGCTCAAAGTCGTGCTCCAGGGTTAAAAGTGATGACGTCACAAGGCATAGAAAGGGTGTGGGTCCAC